CCGTGAGAGCACCCTTACCATGGCAGCTTTTTGTTACGTTTTGTGACAAGGTGGGCCAAGTGTTTTTAGTTAAAAATTCAGAACTGACAAAAAGCTAGGTTAAGTCTAATACGATTTATTGTATTGTGAGTATTTTGTTCTTTTCTCTTTTTCATTGTTCTCTTATAAAATATTTTCTTCCCTTCCTGCCTAAATAAAAAAATCTGTAATACTTGTTGGGAGTTTGGGTGTGGGTGACGGTGTGGATTTGAGTCTTGGTTTAGATGTCAGTGTGGGTGTAGGTGCGAATGTGTTGATCAGAAGCAGATTTACACCCACACCCTCTTTGCTTTTGTACGGCTTTTCTAGTAAACCTCTATCAGTTAAAAAGAAACACCTTTCTCATTCAAATATGACTGGGTCTGGCAAACAAAAATTGTCCTTTTTTCGACTATTCCCAATCATATTCCAAGATGTCATTGATCAATTGTTCTTATTCCCAATATACATCATTTTACCCGAAATTGTCAGGTACATCTATAGTAATCCAATAAGAAAGTCATGATTGTCATACTTAGATGGACTATGCAAACAATTTTATTCTGTAATGATTGAACGTTTACCTGATTATGTAACATCTAAAGTCCATTTCATAACTGAATATCCCTGTTCTATTGAAAAATATGGTCTGCCTACATTAAATTCATGTATGAAGTTAGAAGCAAAACACTTATATTTCAAACAACTTGCTACTCGTACATTTATTTTTAAAAATCCTTTCATGACTCTTTCGAAACATCATCAATTATGTCATTCTTTACTGAGTTATTCGAACACATTTGTTTCATTAGCAATAAATATTCGATCGTGTAAAACCATTACATTAATGGATCTTTCACTTCCTGTTAAACATTTATTAATAAAAAGCATTGATCAATCTGATCCTATATGTGAAAGTTTCTCAGTTTATTATGATAACATTCACTTTAGACCTGAGGGTGTGGGTGTGGATGTGGATGTTTGGGAGTTGGAAAATATAATGAGAATCCACAACCACACCCACACCCTTTGCCGATTAAATATGTATGTAAGCATCGATGTACCTTTGTTTAAGTGCTCCATTCTTTTTGTTTTTTCCTTTTCTTTTTTCTTCTTGTATACTCGTTTTTTCTATCTGTCTTTTTTTCTCCCTTACATATTCTGTCTTTTGTGTTTTTTTTTCTTTAATCTTTTCTCTTTTTGTTCGTGACCTTCTTTACTTTTATCTTCCATCTGATCTCTCTCCTAGGTAAAAGCTAAAAGCGTACTATGATAACTTGCAACAATAAATAGCAATATCAAAAACAAAACAATCTCGAAAAACTATTTCCTAAGCATTTTTCAAGAAAATATTAACTGCAAAAATAAAATCTCAAAAATACAACTCGATCATCTCTACTAGAAAACGTGACATCGATAACAAGAACATAAAACTCTTTAATAATGCAAATAATGACTTTAATTTGAATAATTGATTCTAATTTTAGCAATCTATTTTCTCTATTTGCTCGAAATAAATAAGTTGTTTGTTGAGTGATTTCTATTCAATTTGAGTACTGGAAATCTTTATCTAACATGAAACCAATTATATTCTCATCAAAGTATGAGTGTTTATTTCTCTCATTGTTTGTTCGCTGATAGAATTTTTTCAATTTGTTTGCTATTTTTATGTTTTATTTCTCTTATTAATAAATACCTCAAATTCTTCTTTTCTATGTAGGTAAAAACGGTCATTCTCTTTGTTATTTTCGGCTAAAATTTAATCGAATTTTTTTAAAATATATTTCAATTAGTTTTCTTTTTTTGAAGTTCTTGATTCGTTTTGTCTTGACAAATTTATTTTGTTCATTTAAAGATTTTTTTTGTCCAATGATTCCAACAAACGACGAAACAAAGCGTATTCTTTATTTTCTAAAATAGTTATTAAATCTTTTAAACAATCTCTTTCTTTCGATGACCGTTATTACAGTTATGTATCATTTAATGAAATTTCATCGTTGAACTCAAATGTAATACTAAGTAGTTGTGAGATAATAAAGAAATTCTGTGATTAATTTATCTTTCTCTTTTGTTTTATATTAGATTTAGAAATCTTTTTGATTTATGAATACTTTTATTATTATCATTTCTATACAGAAAAGTTTAAAGTTGTTTATCAGATATTTTCTCTCGAAGAAGTTCAATTCGTTTAGTATATGTTCTAACCAAACTGTTTTATCCTTCAGATTAGAAACTGAAGTCGAGATAGCACTGAAAAACTACAATAACTTTTCTTGACCTTTGAAAATTAAACTGTATTCATTCCTTTAAAAAATTTTTTTGGTTAATTTTTGAATTCTATCAAAAGAAAATTTCCGTTTATGAACAATATTTTTGTCATCGTCTTACAGATGTTTTAAATTTATGAGAAAACTCTAATTGTCTTTCATAATGTAACTAAACTTCATCGATAAGTTTGTTGAGTTCACTATAAAATTTTATTTCATTTGTCTATTCCAAATTCCTTGGTTAAAATTGTCAAAATTTGATAAAGAATGCTTTTTAAATAATCTAATTTATCTAGTGTGGTTACTAAATAATTTAGACCTACTCTAACAAATAGAATATTAGTTTGACATGGAAGCATCTTGTTAAAAGAATTTCTTGAAACTTCTTAAAAAAATTTTTTTTTTCATCTAATTTCTAATTAAATCCAAAGCGTTCAATAAATTTCGAAAATCAAATTAATTCAAAAGACATTTGAAAATGTAAAATATGCTTTAAGTAAATTTCCAAATAATTCTTTTAATAAATGAATAGCTTTGAAAATCTAATCAGAATGATCAGTTAGTATTCCATTAAAAATGATTTTATTTGTTCTCTATTCATAATCTTATTCGTACTCGAAATAATATACAGTAAAACCTCTCTAATGTGAACACATTGGGACTTTTCAAAAGTGTTCACTATACGGAGGTGTTCACTTTATAGAGGTGACGGACATTTTGCTGAGAAGTGAAGACAAAATTCCGAATGTCTACTGCTGTACTAATCTTCAGGCAAGCAAGAGCTATTCATTTTTTATTCATTTATTTTTATTTAAATGGTTTGTAGTTAAAAATTTTCAGATACAAGACGGGCTTTAGTTTTGTTTAAAAAAGTCTTCTAATGTCGTTTGTCTATTTGTTTTTGAACTGATATGAACATTAGTTAACTTTGATTTTAATTCATTATTTAATTCAACTTTCTGTTGCAAACTAAGATCATGTCGTGATGACATTTTTTTAATGAATATTTGGCTGCGTTTATTAGAAAAACAGAAATTATATATAGGAGAGAGATAATTAGGCGAACTAGGAAAAAACCAGAGAGTCTTCTTCGTCTATTTAGAAAATGAACAATAGGACGAATTGAGACAATGACCTTCTTATTCAGAACAGACGTAAAAGAAGTGGAGCATTACGTAACAGGGAGAGAAAAATAAACATGTACATATGTTCACATTAGAGAGGTTATAGTAGTTAGAGGGAGTGGGAAAGAAGTGTTCATGTTCAGAATAAAGAGGTGTTCACAGTCGAGAGGTGCATTTCCAGCAAAAATCGCTCCGTCGGACCTGAGAGTGTTCAGAATAAGGAGTTGTTCACTATCGAGAGGTGTTCATTATAGAGGTTTTACTGTATTATCTTTAAAACTATCATATTGTATAAGGCATATGTTGTTTTATTTGACAAAAGAAATTATCTTGAGGTTGACTCGATAAAAATTTCTATTAACAAGTTTTCTTCATGTTGAAATCTTACTTTCATTGTTAAAATACAGACTATTATAAGAATAATGGTAAATTAGAGAGAAAATTTTCAGTTCATTTTTCTTTATCTTTAACTTCAACTTCAATTTCAATTTCATTGATTTGTTTTATGATGTTCGAATCAACGTTTTTTAATTAATCATCACAACAATGATTTTGTTTGCACAATGTTTGAAATATGAAATAAAATTTTTCAAAAGATATATCAGATTTGTATGTTTAAAAAATAAATTCAACTTAATTTTCATAGTCTGTTTTTACTTTATCTCGTAATAATTTATTGTCATAGGTGTTTCTATCATTTTTTTTCTCTATATCAGATTAGAACTATCCAAAAAAAACGTAATTCAATAAAAGAAAGAAGTTCCAAAATAGTTACCGTTGACCAGATAGTTATACATACTAGAGCTCACGATATAAAATATGAATTTCATTGGAACAAAAAATTACATCATCATTGCCTATTTATCAGATGTTTCTTCTGCTTCTTTCTTTTAGTTCGATTTTATTTTGAATGATGTAAGGGAAAAAGAATCAAAGAACATACATACCTGTAGCACTATGCAAATGTGTTTTTCTGATTTGAGAACTAATATGTGATGTGTTCATTTATTAACAAGAGAAAAACGATTCAAAATAATGTTATAACTATGATATTTATAAAATTGAATGTGAATTTTGACATTTATGAATTTAGATTTGAGAATAAGAAGATTTACAAAAGAAAAATTCGATGGTAAATTACTAGAGGAGTTATATGTTGGGAGCATTTGTTATCTTTTAAAGAATTGATAGTTCGAACCAACAAAGAAGATCCAGATCAATCTTTGATGCTTCACAAACATCTTTGCATGATATTGTTAATGTTAAGTTTGTAGGATGGAGTGTAGCTGTAAGTATGAGCCTCCATATGAGGATGGAAATAAGTAAAGACTACAACAGTTTGCACACCTACACTCAATTTGAATACGGACAACATAATGTTGCTGAATATATTGAATGTAATTTTTCAAGTTCTGACAATGAGAGGTTCTTAATAGTACGCATTTGTCTATGTTTTGATACAGATATACAAAAGACAAAGATAAAAAGATCGTTAAGCATGTTGAAAACGTAAAGACGAGTTACAATAAAACCAATATATTCTACTTCAACATCGCTTTTGTTATCCGATGGAAATAAATTAAAATTATAAATGGTTTGTTGAACATAAGCAATTGTAACTAAACAAAAAGATGTTGTTCTTTAACTTTTTTTTTCTTCAAGAGTCTATAATGAAAAGAGTAAGGTGTGGATGTGGATGTGTGGGTATTAGTGTTGATCTCTTCTTTCCCACCCACACCCCACCCTCATTTATAATTGTATGGTTTACTTTTATTTTGTTTTAATAGTAAAACTCATTGGTTGTTCATTAAGTTGATGTTAAAAAAAACTAACACTAGTCTTGATTGAACATTTAGAAATAAAAAAGAAAACTCTTTTTCTCAATTCCCACAACTTCTTAATATTGAAATCAGATAAAATGCTCTTCTGACAGATCAACATTTTATGAGCAATTGCAAATAAAATTTGTGAAGAAAATGTAGTGTAAGATACATTCATAGTAAAATGATACAAGCTAGAAATGAGCTTATTATAATAAAATTAGGCTTTCCATTTTCAATCACATTATTTGAAAATCTTGAAATAATATTCATAGGGAAAAAATAAAAATAGATGTTACTGATGAGAAAAACACCTACTATTAATTACAACATCTTTTGACTCCTCTGATAACATACCATGGAGCATTAAACTTTATTAGGTGCTAGACGAATTTGTAATATCGAATGACGGTCATCATCAATCGGTATATCTTGCTGATTAATACTATTCATCTCTATCTCAGATTAGACAATGCATTGAATATTTCAAAGGATAAAATTAAATAAATATTTAGTACGAATAAGAAAAGAAAAAGAAAGAGTAGATCTATCTAATAGGGATATTCTCTAGTATATGTGTCATCGTATTGGATCATTTATTTATCTTCTATTGTATTGAATACTATCATAGAAATACAGAACTCTTTTAGACTTAAAATCAATAATTGATTAGACATTTAAAAAAAATGTCGTTAACTGTTATGGAATATAAAAGTCAAGATGATTAACATTATTCAAATAATGAATCGTTGTTAGCGATTGAATTATATAGTGAAGCAATTAAACTTATTGAAAATAATCCTGAAAAAAAAAATCTTATATTATATTTATGATATTTAAATCGTTCAGCTGCTTATATTCAAGATAACAATTTTTTATTCTGAATATGAAGATGCTAAACATTCATTAAAATTAAACAAAGATCAAAATTTTAAAACACTTCATCTTGGTTTTATTGAACAATTTATTCAAGAAGCAATAGAAGATCATAAACAAATTCTTCTTGATTATTTAAATTCAAAATTGTTAATAGAAAACAAAATTAATTATATGAAAAAATGGCGAAAACAAGATGGAACAACTAAAAATTTAATAGAAAATCTTCAAGAAATTATTGACAAGTAAATCAAATTTGATTAAATATAAATTATTGAACTTTTTTTGTTTCATTGATTTTTGCTTTTACAAGAAAAGTTTTGATGATTGAAATTCCAGCTATTCTTTATCAAATTCGTTATTTATTACGAGCATTTTTTGAAAATAAAAAAGATAAAAAATTATTTTAGAAAATTAACCTTATGAAGACGAGATAAGAATCACTTCTTTATCAAATGCATATCTATATAGACAACTTTAAGTTTAAACTAAACCAGAATTTTTTCAATTTTTTTTTTGACATAGATTTCTATGAAACATGATCTAAGATAAGGGTTGAAGTGTACGAGTAAACATACATATCTTGAGCCAACCCATTTTTCTTCTCATCATATGCATCTAGGCGAACACTAGGTGAAAAACAAAAGTTACCCTTTCATCAATCCAAATATTAATTAATATACTTTGAGAAATGTTCTATCTAATAATGTCGTACAAACTTTTATTACCAATTTCAAGTAGTGTGAAGCAGTCATATTCAAAAAATACCTTGGAAAAATAAGTGTCGATGAGAAAACCAATTTGTGACAAAATAAAATTATCTGGTAGATACGCACATAAGATATTCGGAATCTACATATCGTCTGATATTGATCATCGAAGAAATCTTTTAAGTTGAATGTGTGTCCTAAACTAATTTTGGTAATGGCTAGTCTCATTAAAACGAATGTACACCTCTTAATATCAACCTAAATGTGTTTGTGTTTAATCAGAATTTTTTATTCTCTTTCCTCTATCACCAGAGTTAGCATAAATCAGTATAAACGCTCCCGAGATATACAATAAGTTTTACAAAAAGTCTTGGCTTTTTCCGCTATCATTCTTTTCTTCATATTCGAAAGCATTTCTGTTGAAAATCAATGTTATATTTGGAATCAGTATGTGAAACTACATCGGATAATGTATGAGTAAAAACATTTTAATAGTAAAAAATTTTCTCAGTTGCTTTTTACCGACAAGTTCTTTTTTTCTTTCAAAAATCTTTATATTTTTCTAACAGTGACTTTTTTGAGTGATATACAATCGATTCAAAGCAAAGAAATTCATTTCCGATAATGCGAGTTGACTGTCTGTCTGTCATGTAAAAACTGTACATTAATCTCCTTCCACAGATTATGATAGACGTTCTTGCTATACGATCAAATGCCTTATATCAATAATGCCTCGTTATAATATGTAAAATATTTTCTTATACCAGCTTCATCGTCTTTCATACTTTTATTCTAAAGCGATTGCGTTTTTTTTTTTACGTAAAGATATTTTTCCTATAAGAGATTAGGTCATTTTAAGAGCAGAAAAAATACATAGAATTGCTGAGATTCTTCAATTCATTAGCAGTGATTGTCGAACCGTAATAGCTGTTCAATAAAGTTTCCTTTTATAACTATTTATTCATCGTACTTGATGTGTTTCTATGATGAAATCAAGTCTCCCAATGAATAATTCAATTCAATAGTGATTAAGACATATCATATGCGCAAAATATATGATAGAATGTTTATATATACGTTTAGGAATTACCAATGGCTGATCCATTATTGGAAGATCTTATATTAAATGAAATGCCTGATATTGGATCATCACGTATAAACGCATAAGAACAACGTACTTTACCACGTGATAGACAAAATTATGATTTAGACAAAAAAGCTGAAGTTGATTTGGCTGCATATGTTTGCATTTTGTATTTCTAAAAATACTTATTTCAATAAAATCTTTCTGATTTTGGTTTTTTTTTAGACATTATCATTTTTTGTCAATAATGCATTGGCATCATTAGTTATTAATTCTTTAGATGAAAAAATATCGATACGTGCATTAAAACAAATTCATCGTTTAACAACAGTTAATTTATATCGTAAAACCATAAGTGATGCTTTATATGATGCAAAAAATAAGTATATCTATTCGGTGACCGATCAATTCGTCGCACATGTATTGTAAAGAATATATTGATTGAATTAAGTAATTTAGTTTAAAATGTTATACAATTAATCGCCTTAACAAAAAATTTTCTTTAGACTCATAAGAATCTTTTTTAAGAATACAATGATTTTTTCAAAAATAAAATAGAGATGTCAATTTAAAACCCTATTTTAAAATTTAATTAAAAAAATTAAAGTTTGATTATAAATAAAATTCTACGTTGACAAGTTAAAAATAAAGTTCTTTTTGTCATTAAAATTGATGTGTTCAATAAATAAAAAGTTTTATTTTTTTTTTAATTTAGATTTGTAAAATTTTTTTTCAATTTTATATTTTTGTTTTAATTTTCAGCTTCGTTTTAAATAAAATGTTAAATTTCAATTGAAAAAAATGAATTTTATTTTTAATTTGTTTACATCGAATTTCATCTAAAATCAAACTTCAATTTTTTTTAATTAAATTTTAAAATAGGGTTTTAAATTGACATCTGTATTTTATTTTTGAAAAAAACCATTGTATTCCTGAAAAAAGATTCTTATGAGTCTAAAGAAAAATTTTTGTTAAGCCGATTAATTGTATAACATTTTAAACTAAATTACTTAATTCAATCAATGTATTCTTTACAATATATGTGCAACGAATTGTCGTGCATCGAATTGTAGTAGTGCCTTGGTTCCAAAATAATCATTTTAATGAATTATATGAAAGCACTTTTTGACATTATTTATGACCGTTTCACATCAATATTTCTATTACAATTTGAAGGTATTGTATCATTTGTCTTTAATTGAGATCAATTGCCATTAAAGAATATATTATATATTCGTGGAAAAATGTCCTTGAACGAGCGATCTCTTTAAATATCTTATTGTATAATATAATTCGTCCTTCTGCCATGACCAATCTAATATGTATATATATTAATGTGATCGATCGATAGGCCCCGACCCGAACAGACTGAAAAAAATAAAACAAATTAAGCAACGTGATTGGTCTATTTCGATTTAAATCGTCTTTTTGAGACAATTTATTCGTTAATTCCGTTTTAATTCACTTTGAATTAGTCGGTCTGTTCGGGGTCATAGTTGTTAGTGCTAGATACATATCCTTATTCATCATTTCAAGTGTTTTCCTCGAAAATTTGTGTCGTTTTCCTGACGAAGCAATGTAAATAATTGATTGGTTGACATGAAATTTCGTCTAACTTATAGAAATATCCAATTTTGATCTATCAATTTACTTGAGCACGAATCACGTAATTGATCTTGTAGTACTAAAGTGAAACATATGTGAGCATAATTCGTTTCGATTATATCTAATTTGACTGTATGATAAAAACTTTCCCATATAACAACAAATAACGATAGAAAACACCATGTCATGGCTGTTAGCCATGAAAGATTTCATCTTGTTCTTTCTTTTTTTCGTCCGATTCTTTCATTCTCTACAATTTATCGTTGAAAATCAGCGATTAGGGTTCCAGATATTGATGAAAATTTTCTTAATATTCTTACAAGAGAAAATTCTTCTATATTTGTTTAGATATTTGAAATCAACAATAGAAAATGTATTCATCATTTGAATCTCTTTCTGCAGAATTATTATATGAATTGTTTGATTATTTATCTCCATATGATTTATTTGGAATTTTCATCAATCTGAATAGTCGTTTAAATGTAATCGTTCATTCATATCCACTTCGTTTGGATTTTCGAAAAATCAGTCGATCAAAATTTGATTTTATTTGTCGTCATATTCAGCCAAAACAAGTTATTTCATTAATTCTTTGTGATGAATATGTTCCTGAACGAGTAAAACTTTTTCTCGATCATTTTCCACATTTTAAACAAGAATTTCTTTATCTTAAATCTGTAACATTAATCGAAGTTGGAAGTAATACTTTCATCGATTTACCTTTATCTGTTTCATTATTATCAATTAGAAGTTTTGATACTGATAATAATTCAAAAACTTACATTAATGAAATATTATCTCAACAAACAAAAGTTTTAACTCATTTAAAAATTGATAATAAAGATTTACAATATCTTATTGATATACGCTTTCCAGCTCTTACTCATTTGATTATTCTTGGAGGATATTATTATGCCCGTGAATATATTGATGTGTCTTCACCATTGGAAAATATTGATATTCATTCATTAATTCAACAATGGCAATGTTTTCTCACTCATCTTCATCTTGTTATCGACAATGAAATTCGATATTCGACATTTAATCTTGATCGATTCTCTCATTGTCTTACTCATCTTATGTTACACTTTCATCAAGGTAATTAAGAAAACTAATGAAAAGTTGATTTTCATTTTTCATCTGATATTTTAGATATTCAAGTATCATTTGTATGTCTTGAACGATGTTTAATTAAATTGTCTCAACTGACAAATTTTACTTGTCAAGCAAATGGTTCATGGGATTTAATTGATGGTAAACAATGGGAAAAATTTATTTTAAAAACACAAATTGTTCAATTTAATTTCAAATTCGAGTGCAATCTTATTGAAGAAATTTCATCTATACTCGAATCATTTCGTTCATCATTTTGGCTTAAAGAACGACATTGGTATGTTGGATGTTATCAAGATGAATCAAAGACAAGTACAATTATCTATTCAATACCACGATTTCGAATACGTACACTTAAGTATCCTTCAACTTTATTTCCACATATGACAACAGCACCATCAAATATTGAACAAAAGTTTTTTTATTCAAGTAGAATCTATTGTTTCTCTTGTGATATGAATAAATTATTTGCACCAGTCAATTATCGTTTCAATCAAGTTATATCATTGACACTATCAGGTTCATCATTATTACCATTGCATATTCTCTCATCAATTATCGATCTTCAACAAATTCGACATCTTGATGTAGCTGATATTCATCTCTTATTACCGGCTGAACTTGAAAATCTTATTACTCATACACCTCGTGTCACAAGTTTATTAATGAAATTCGATCCGTTATTTATTATACCTTCACAAATTCATTATCTCCTATTGGAAGGTCCTGGTCAATCGATTTCTCTTGATAGACTTTATTATACAATATCATCTGTTAAAAGATTAGAGATATCTATGGCATCAAAACAAATGATTATTGATGTTATTGATCGATTCCTTGGTTTGGAGAATCTTGATATATTCTTTGATGATGGCGATCTTGATGATGATTCTATGACTATTTATAAAGGTATCTCAAATGATTGGTTAATTCAATATACGCATCGTCTCAAGTCACATGAGTTTACCTGTCGACATTCGAGTGAAGTCTATCCATCGATGTACTTATCGTTTGGTGATCGACGAAAAGAAAATGGCGATCAATATTAAGAACTTCATTTTTCTTTTTTTTTGTTGTTTATGAAAGATTAAAGAAGAAAATAAATTTTCATTTAAAATACTGAATTTTTAACGCATACATGCCAGAGACTAGATCGCCTCAATAAAAAAAACAATTATTTATCTGAAACTTTCGATCTTTCTCATAGAAAGAACTGTTGAATATAAATGAAGTGACACTTTTTTCCATAGACTATACTCCCACCCAACTAGATTCTTATTTTTTTATTGGAACTACTGTGAGGATATAAGATCACGAAATTGTTCCGTGAACTTTTTAATATTAACAAAAAAAAAAACAATATTTTAGGTAAGAGTCAATTTCCATAGAAAATATCAAAAAGTCGGTTAGTATTTCGAGTTTTTATCTATCAAAATTTTTTTTTTTTATCAAAGATAAGTGTTATATTCGAAATCAGCATCCAGAAATACACTGAAAATTTTACTTTTCCTCTTAACAGGGTGTGGGTGTGGATCTTCTAATGTAAAACGGCCATGTCCACAACCACAACCACAACCACACCCACACATCCACACTCACACCTACACCCACCTCGAAAGTATGAGATACTTGATAAATTCGGTAAGTCGAAAATATTTACAGTTTACTGCTTTTGCGAAAGGCATTCTAAAATAAGTGTCGATCTAAATAGACTAGAAATGCACAATACTCAATTTGTGATTATCTGTCATTGGATCTTATGAGAATATTTGAACCAATCTATTCTTATGATTCTTGAGAGTTAAGCGACGGTTACTGCAGAAATCGGTCCCAACATACATCGTAGAAAACAATAATTTCGAGCCTAGTAAAAAAAAAAAATTATATCGACTTTCATATTGCAAATCAGCAAAGAGTGCTCTTGGTGTTTTTTTCTGTTCGAATCGTTATAGATTTAAATTCACCGACAATCTCAACTTCGACAATAGTAAATGCAATGACACCAACAACGTATCACACAAGTTCATCCCAAGGTTCATCCATATCCAGTAGAAAGCACTCAACAACAGTTACTATATCAATTGTTATATTGGTAACTCCTTGTTAAATATTTCTCACAGTTTTTAATTATTTATTCTTTAGTTTTCTAGATTTTGCTCACTCCCTTTTGAAACATGAACGATTTTATCTTTTGCCTCATCAGTATACAATGGACAACAGAGAGTACTAATGACTTGTTTTAGCGATTTTAATAATCATTCTTTCACTCTGCTGCTCTCATATTTAACTTGCTTTTCGCTTATGTATCAGTATTACGATGTCAAACTATTCTTTGTAGATCTCCAAATTATTTAGAACACTGTAATATTCATATATTTGCTTTATCATTATGCTTCAAGTAAAAGTTGTGTTTGTGAATGACACTTCATGTGTCTAGTCAATATAAGTGAATTATTATACAATATTACAAATAAAACTTCAAAGGATATTACGTGGTCAAATCAGTTCGAGTTTTTGGTGGCATCATCACCTTTAACTGTTTTCATATTTCTTCTAAATGGACTGCTACACGGCAGAGAATGAAAAAAACATGCAGTGAGAAACGAGAGTGGTCTAATTCAAGTTTTATATGACGCTTTATATCTGCTTTCGCTCTTAGGCAATTCAATAAAGCAACAAAAAAGTGTTTCGACTTGTCCGTTCACTAGAAAAATCTTGGCCACTAAAGAAGGACAGTTTTTGGCAACTTCAGAAAGCCTCAGGAAGCAAATTACATATCCTCTAGAAGTGCTGCTTCTACTCCACGAATCCATGAAAAAGTTTTGCTTTATCCCTGTTCCATTTGAAATGATTTTTCTTTCTACAATAGAAAATTATTCAAAATGACCTCTTCAATATGATTGTGGCCCCTATTTTTCTATATCTTATATTTGGATAAAACTTTCAGATACCTTTCTTCTTTTGGGTAAGTTTGGGTGTAGTTGTTCTATTATTCACCCTTATACCCACACCCACCCACACCATCATCTCTCCCGAAGGATCGCGACAGAAGAATATTAAGGTAAAATCAGGAATCATGGAAAACTAGAATCCGATTGATACCACACATAGAGAAAAAAAATAAAACTTTTAAGGAATTAGTAATACACATGTTAATCTCCCAGAAACTCTGCTAATACCTTTTCAATTGTTTTCAGTTACGTGCTATATAGACCTATCATAAAAGAAATTGCTGATTGAAAAACTGTTAGGTCTTTTGGCTCCTTATTCTGAGGCATGACAATAAAAAAGCATGTATTTAACCGTACTCAATTACAGCAACGATAACCAGTGCTCTTATTTCCAAATAGGCATAGATGAAAATTTTTTCATAAGATATGATCATTCATGGCTATGCAAAATCTTTTATGTCACTTAGCTGAACAATACTATTCTACTAAATATAATAAGTTCTGAAATAAAATTATCTTGAGAGTGTGGGTGTGTATAGTTATACAGAAGTCACTCACACCTACATCCTTCTCTTCAGTATGATAAACAAAATAAATCAATTAGCTTACGATAAAAATTTTAAGTAAGTAGGGTGTTCTTGTAGGTGTGAATTAATATTACAAAAACACACCCACACCCATAAAAGAGCAAGAAGAAAATGAAAACAAACTATCAAATTAATAGTCTATCGTACTGGAGAAAAATCATATGAATATATAAAATACTCTTATTCTATTCAACTTATTTGATAAACAAATTCATCGTCAAGCTTAACCGATTACTCAGTTTTTTCTTATCTATGTTTATTTTCGGTTTTTAGTTTTTATAAACTATTTTTCTCAAAAAGAAGAGAATAAATAAATATGAATATTTTCTTTAATGTCTAAATCATTAAGAAAATTTCGTTCAATTCAACACATTCAAACTATCTGATGAACTATTAAATGAATACGAGATCTACAGCGATAATATTTATTTCAATAGAGATTCAAAATCATCAACATTTATATTACAGTTATCAAGATAATTCTTTTTGTTTTTTATTTTACGTTTGAATATTATTATTATTATTAGAATAATAATCAAATTAATTTATTGAATAGATCTACTCAATAAAGAACAACAATTTTCAAAAATGAATAGATTTTATCGTGAATTTATTTTATTCCACTGAAATCATTAATACATAGAGATGAAGTTGTACAAAAATTTTATTTCAAATTTTAGAAAGAAAGATAAACGATGATTTAGCTAAGTGCTTATTATTGTTTAATATCGACATTCTCCAATACAACTTGAAAAAAATTGACTTGACCAAATCAGTTAATAAGATGATCTATCTCATATATTATCTGTTTTCTTCAATAAGTAAAATTATTCTAACGAATGAAAATATTAATTAATATATCATGATTGTTTTTGTTTTTCGTCCATACTAAATATATTTAATTGAAATAATTAACGTAACAAAATTTAATCATCATTACATTTCATTTGATGGTTTATATATTTACTATGTAACGTAAATGTTATTATTCTATGTATAGATAAATAAAGAATACAACAAAAAATAGTTCATTCATTTATTTTTCGAAGTTCCTATGAAGAACAATCTATTCTTATTAGAAAAATAAATACATAAAATCTGGAAAATGTTAGAAAAGTCAGCAGAGACAGTTAATCATTTGACAGCGAAGTCCGTAAATTTATGGTTTCAAAATTTTGAGTAGGCTATTAAAGGAATTACTCACTAATTCCATCTGTAGTATATAGAGATAACTTGATCAATGTCACTAGTGACATGCTGTGTAAGCGCCAAGATTATTTTTCGTAAGGCACCATCATTGATTCATAGGGATTTGTACAAGGATGTAACCCAACTAGACATTTTCCTTCTCTTGTATCTCAAACAAAGGAAAGAAAAACTCAGAAATAATGTAATGTATGTGTACATACTAATAGAAGATCTAAAAAGAGAACAGATTCATGTTATATGTGCAAAGATTGTGATGTGGATCTTCGCGTTGTTTGTTGCTTCGAAGACTTTCGTACTTTAGTACACTTTTAGTTTTTTTTCTTGTCAAGTGTTTTTTCATTACAAAATAAACCAGCTACATCTTTTAAATGAGGTCTAAGGGCAATAATCATCAAAATATAATTCATTTTGATAACACAATTTCATTTTTTATAAAAAATAAGTCCGTGTCCAAAGGATCAATTTCTATATATTTTAAAGAGTTGAACCAATATATAGTTTTTCTTTGAGATTTACTGTTTAATGATTCCAGACAAATATTTATCTCTATAAATCTTCGAATAGAAACTAACGGGTACGGTATAATAAATGGCCGCTCCGTATATTGTTGATAATTTCGATTAATTTTAATTTTTGCGACCTTATTATTTTTACTAAAAGACTTACCTTAGAATTCTGTACAGAGTAGTATAACTTGATTTACTAAAACATTATTCTTTCGTTCTAGAACACAACCGTTTTGAACAACTTTCTCAATCTGCATGTTTTTTCAAGAAAACATTTTTATTTGTTGATCATTACGACTTGCTCTATGGTTGTAGGTATGGATCCCGAAAGAGAAGAGAACAAAATCCACATCAACACCCACCCATACCCATACCCTTTTCGTAAATTACCCTATGAAGAATCCTTAAAAACTTAGGGATTTAACGAAAAAAAAAACGCGTTAAATTTTCACGTATTTACTGCACTTGTAGAGACAGAAACGTAATATTATATTTTGTTAAAACCTTAAATTTTTAACGCCTTTTTACGTCACAAAACTTCATTAAAGTGCCAAAAATTTTCATATGAGTATACGCCAATTTAGCAAATATATTTCAGAAAACGATTTATTATTGTTAAAATCAAATAACTCTCTTGATTATATTGGTGTTTAAAGAAAATGTTCTTTGAATGAAGAAGCATAATACTATCAAATATCAATTGGATTGAGAGAATTAATATAATTCTGCACCACTCAGAACACTGAAATAAATTCCACCAGTAACTAATACTGTCCCATTTGTTAATGTTGATGCTTTGTGGAGAGTTCGTTTATTATTCATATTATCAATAGTTGTCCACGTTTCTGTTGAGGAATCATATAACTCGACACTATTTAGATCACCATCAACATTATTTTCTCCACCGGCCACTAATACTTTTCCATTCGTTAATATAGGTGCTGTGTGTAACTGCCGCCCAGTTTTCATGTAACCACTTTTTCTCCAGATTCCTGTTGATGGATCATATAACTCAGAACTATTTAGATAATAGTGATCAGTACCATATTCACCAGCAACTAACACTTTTCCATTGTTTAATACAGTTGCTGTATGCCAATGTCGTGAATTATTCATGTAATCAGCCCTTGTCCAAGTTCTTGTCGACGGATCAAATAACTCAACACTATTTAGATAACTACCACCAGTAGCTAAAACTTTTTCATTTGTTAATAAAGATGCTGTATGATCAGCTCGATCATCATTCATTTGACTAACCATTGTCCAAAGTTCTATCGACGGATCATATAACTCAGCACTTTTCAGAGTTTTACTTCCATTCCATCCACCAGCAATTAACACTGTTCTATTTCTTAGTACAGTTGCTCAGTGACGACATCGTGCATAGTTCATGTTACCAACATTTCTCCAAATTCCTGTGGACGGATCATACAACTCAGTATTCTTTAGACTATTATTACCATCCCATCCACCTGTAACTAATACTGTTCCATCTTTTAATATAGATGCTGTGTGATCAGTTCTTGTATAGCTCATTTTCCCAGGTCCAAGATGTAGCGCGGGAAACCACCGGATCCGGTGGATTTCCAGCGAATTCCTGCTGCAGAATTCCCAAATTGGATCCGGCCTCCGTTTCCGGCTTAGTTCCCATCAATTCCGGAGTCCGGAGACGATGTTCGGATACGGATGTCTGTTTTCGGTACGGTTCCCGAATGCGGTTCCGGCGTCTTATGGCGACAACAGGATACGAACCATATACCGTCGTTTCCGCTCTGGTTCCGAAGCCCAGATCCGGTCGTTTGAAATTAAGCTGTGAAATTCGGGTCCGGTCACAGGACACGACAGGATAGGACTCCGATGATGTGGGTGTGGGTGTGGGATGTGGGTGAGTGTGGGTGTGGGTGTGGGTGGGTGTGGGATGTGGGTGTGGGTGGGGGGGGGGTGGGTGTGGGTGGGGGGGGTGGGGGTAGGCGTGGGTGGGTGTGGGTAGGGATGTGCAGTTTCGGTGAAAACAGTGAATTACTGGCAGTGATACACTGGCGCTGAGCGCACTGACTGCAGTGAAACACTGTCCCTGAGCGAACTGTCTGCAGTGACACACTGACACTGAGCGCACTGTCTGTAGTGACGCACTGACACTCAGCGCACTGTCTGCAGTGATACACTGACACTGACCGCACTGACTTCAGTGACATACTGACACTGAGTGCACTGGAGCAGTGACCACACTGGCACTGCGTACCACTGGACTGTTGAAAACACTGGAGCACCGACGTTTATTGATGTAGATAAGTCTGGTATATCAGTAAACGTCGGTGCTCCAGTGTCTTCAACGCTCCAGTGGTACACAGTGTCAGTGTGTCACTGCAGTCAGTGCGCTTAGTGTCAGTATGTCACTGAAGACAGTGCGGTCAGTGGCAGTGTATCACTGCAGACAGTGCGCTTAGTGTCAGTGCGTCACTGCAGACAGTTCGCTCAGTGACAGTGTGTCACTGCAGACAGTTCGTTCAGTGACAGTGTGTCACTGCAGACAGTGCGCTCAGTGTCAGTGCCGTCACCGTATCGGTGAACGCCAGTGTGATTTTATCGGTGGCCAGTATACTGATACTGCACATCCCTAGGTGTGGGTGTGGGGTGTGGGGTGTGGGTGGGGTGGGGTGGGTGTGGGTGTGAGTATTAGTATTGTCTTCACCTACATCGACACCCACATCTTCACCCCTCACCCGCAACCACAATCGCCCATGGTTGTGGATCAACGAAATTTCAAAAATAGGGTTTCTCCATCAGTACGGAGAATTGTTTTCTAAAAATTGATTTATGGGGCACCCTGCCCATGTGGAGCCCATGAGTCGACAAAAAATATCTCATCATTTTCTCTGCTACAAACCATGAGCAACGATGAGAAATCATTAGAAATCATTGTACATCACTGAAAAATCACCAATGACATGGTTAAAAGAGGCCCTGCGATTTCGGTTGATTTCTACCGGTTTCCTTGAGTTTCAATGATTTTCACTATTGTCAGGTGTCGATCCTGATTTTCAATGATTTCTTGTCATTTTTATTTATTTTTGGAGATTGCCAATCATTTCTGTTGATTTCTGGACAACACATAAAAACGGATTTCACAGCTTGAGATCATCTGAAATTACTTGAAATCAATGAAACTACCAAATCAGTTTGTTCCCCCTTAATGTAACCTTGAGAAATATCCAACTATCATGTGAAGGTAGAGCTTTAAAAGCTGCAATGACCACGTCCTAGTACGGCTAACGAAGTTGCCGGTAATACGCCCTAGTAACAGACAAAAAACGGCAAGTACGATGTCCGAGTAGAACTCGAAAAGTTGCAGGTATCATGCCCGAATATGGCTCACAAAGTTGCAGGTACCACGGTTTGTTGAGATGGAAAAAGCTACAGGTGTGATTTCCTGGTAGGTTGGAACAGCGACAGGCGTGATTTCCAGGTAGGACGGGAAAAGTTACAGGTATGGTGTCGAGCTGGTGTGTTGAAAATAGATACTCCTCTTTTAAAAGATAGACTGTAGCTTTTTCGGTAAAATGTAGACTGAACGTAAGTGAGCTCGAAATTTCGAGCCTATGCATTTTCGAGCTCACTTAACTTGACCTGTTTAATATCGTATTTTTGGTTGGATTGAGAGAAAAGTTGTTGATGACTGTGGCAATGCAAACGAAAGTTTTTTTTCATCATGCGTATAGTTATACAATAGACATTCAGTATGACGAAACGATAAAACTTATATTAGTGACTGACAAAAAATGGCAACAGATGATTCATTTGATATACGAACACACAACAATGAACTATAATTAATTTGATTGAATGATTAAATGGCGCCGAATAAATATTCTAGATTCTTCGTTACAGATAACTTATTCTCTGTAGAATAGATTGAAAAGACAAATCTTTTGTTTATGTAGGAGGAGTAGTTCTAGCTCGAACAGGAGCCACAGAATGAACTTGGGTGTTTTTGCACAGTAGCAATTTGGACCAAATCTCAGGAAGCGTACTGAGGCACATAAATGGCATGATAATTGTGGAAAATCGTATCAAAAAAGTGAAGTAAGGGATTTGCAAAGTAGCAGCAAAAGTTGGTAGACAACAGTTTTGCACAAGCCCTACAATGAACGATGGTAAAGTCAGAATAAGGAAGAGACTTGCAAGAGTCAATAGCTGAATGATCATCCGGCGATGTCTGCGCCAGTGGAATCGCTTGTTTTGCACTTGACGCCTTTGCTTGATTACCCGTAAGATTAGCATTAAGGTAAAACCAGTCACGATGAAGACAGGTACAAAATTATGTGCGATTCGAAAAAAGAGTGCCACAGATGGAATCCTCAATGCACATGAGTATCCACAGAAGAGCGACAGCATATTGAACTGATTTGCACATGGATAGAGAAGAATAATCACGATGTTAGCCAGAATCGGGTAGATAATTGTCACTATGAAAAGAGGAACGTAATGGAACAGCACTCGCCTACGATGAGTGGTGAATAATGAAGAATAAAAAACGAGCAAATGTCTTTCTATAGAACTCCATGCCATCGTCCAATAAATCGAAGTGGCGCATAGAGCATTGAAAAAATTCCAAGAAATGCACATTGCATTGGTTGCTGGTGTTGCGCGGCCCGTGCGCAGATAAATCAGGGTAAAGGGATGACTGAGAAACGAATCAAATACTGAAATAATTAGTAAAACCAATGATGTGTGATTGTGAAGGGTTAAACGAAGTTTTCGATCGGTTAACAAGTGAGTGAGTGTGAAAATTGAACAGACGATGGATGGGATGTGAAAAGTTTGCATGATAATATATTTGATTTGATTGGATGGATCAACGATCGCGTTACTAACAGTTGTTGTGTTGAACATGGGTGACTACAGAGAATATGAGACTCTATGTATACTACAAAGAAAAATAATTGAATTTTTACTTCAGAATAGTGTCAGTTGTCGAACTTTATCTATAATATGAAGCCATAGAACAGCTCAAATAGCATCTCTGATAAGAAACGAGACCTTCTGAAATAATACCAATGTAAAAGTCTCTATAAATGTAAACATTCAACGAAAAAAGTTGTTACTTTTGTAACTGTGAAAACGCGTTAAAAATATGTCCTTGAACGAAGTCTCACGAGTGATTCTAAATTAACTCCATAGTCATGAGAAGAGACATGTGAAGACTCGTCAAAGGATATATTTCCAACGTGTTTTCATGATCTAAACGGAGGCATCTTTTTTCTTTAACTCGTTAAGTTCATTGAAATTTTTACATCAGTAGTTGCCACCTTGTCAAAAAGATGGAAGTCAATCTAAGTTATGACAGAAAAGGGAGAATAAAGAGAACGAAGTTGCTCTTAACTGTGCATGAGTGCCAATCTATTTTTGTTGCCATCTTATAAACAACATAGTTGAACGGGTGTAAAGTTCACTTTAATATTTATAGATATATTAAAAAAGATAATTAAGACGATATCAAAGACAGCATTTCTATGAACTACTATGAGTTCTATCTTTTTCTCTAAATGAATATACGGATAAAATTTTTCTCATAGTATTTCTAGTTGTTTTAATAAAAATAAAATTCGCTAAAATGGAAATATGTTTAGAAAAAAAATGTATCGTGATTAATCATGTAAACGATTGTTCATTTTATATGAGATTTTTTTTTTTGATTTCGCTCTCTTTATTGTTACACTCGGAAGTGCTTACAAGGATATCGTACGCATTGACAACTGTTTGATTACACGACCATACACGATATAAGCATATACGAAAGCACACAGATTTATAAGAAGCCGCGCGAGATAGATAAAAATATGAAGAAAACGAAAGAAAAAAGAAAAGTAACAGGAAAAAAGAGAAAGTCATGGGAGAAGTGAAAAAAAGGAGAAAGGAAGGGAACACGAGAGAAGAAAAAAAGAAAAGTAGTACTCACACCATAATACTTGGATTTCATTCGTACAAAAATTCAAGCCATTGAAGAAGCAGTGATTGATGTCTTTCACGCATATATCTAACTCGTTTCATTTGAAAAAAATGTCCCAGGTGATCATTTTTATTTTTATGAAATGTATCTCAATAAAATATATCATTGTAAAAGGGCGAGCGTCCTAAATCAGATTTTTCAACCCGTTCTAATTTTCTCTTTATATATTTTTTAACATACTCTTCCAATGACTTTTCATTTGTTATCTGAAGAAGATCTGTTGCTCTTGCAAAGGGACAGCGATGAACCAGTCTTAATCTGTTTCTAAATTTTCTTAGAAGTAATTCTTTCTGAGTTTTGGGCACAAAATGGATATAGGAGAAATATCCAGGCAAAATATGGAAAACTGTAAGCAAAAAAAAACATTTTCGCAAGACACCTGTTGAGAGAGACTGCCCACTTTTCATCCATTTTAATTTACTAAATGTTCTTTGAATGTTTTCAAGGGCTCTATCAATCGTTGGTTTTAAGGACATCTTATTGGTTCAAGTAAAGCCAAATATTTGAACTCTTTAACTACTTCTAGTCTCTGACCGTCCATATAAACATCTACTACTGGATCTTGTACTTGTGAATGAAAAGCCTGCACTACAGTTTTGGACAAATTAACTGGTTGTTTCCACTTCCTGGAATAATCCGCTATTTTGTTACATATTTTTGTTCTTTCTTCTTCTAAAAACTGAATCATCGGTTTAATTCCTCTACATATTGGCGGGGATATAAGTACACTTAGATCATCAGCAAATATATGGCTAGAATGAGCACCTACGCAAGAAATAAGATCACAATGATAAATAATGAATAGATATGAGCTTAAACTACTGCCATGTGGTAAACCGTCATGAGTATAAAGGGTGGGCGTGGGTATGGGTGTGGATGTGGGTGTGGATGTGGGTGTGGGTGG